AAGAAAGGACACAAGAAGAAAGGAACCAGAGATCTGGAAAACTTACCTCATCTGTGGCCGTAGATCAAACTTTTTGTGTAAGGGCTGTATGATTTTATCTCATCAACATCTGTCTTCCCCAGAAGGAATGTGTTAGAGCAAAGTGTCTTTAAAGATCACGGAATGGCTTCTGAAAAGCTCCCAACACTTGCTCAGGAAGAGCCTTTTGCTGTGTAATTCCATCTAATTTAGGTTCTTGTTTTCTTGTACAAGTGTATCTTAGTGTTCTCTGCCCATGGGAGAGCTGCTCTGATGGACTGTCTGGGTTGTGTGGCCTGATTTCTGAGCGCTGAATGATGCCTTCACAACCTGGCAGCAGAAGGAAGGCTGAGAAGACAACGCTTTAAGTAGCACTCTTTAACCCTCTCCAAGGAAATCTCTCACCTCAGGGGCTCTTGGGGCTGGAGGAGAGAGGCAAGGAGGCTTAATGAATTGAAGGCATGAAAGGAAGGGGAAAGGAGGAGAGATTAATTCAAAGAAATATCAAAGAAGTAGCCATCAGTCTGTGATAATGATATTATCAAGGCACTTCAGGATTTCTCCAGAAGAAAAGGCAGTCAATGGATTAACTGAATAGCTAAACCACGTAAGCATGGGATGTGACTTGGTCCAGTCAGCCCTTTCCAGAGACCTTCATTAAGCCATGCTTTATGGTTTTCCTAAGTGTAGAGATCTGTTAGATCCACTGCTATGGCTTGATAGCATAGAATCATGGTGTGGTTTTGGCTGGAAGGGACATTAAAGCTCATCCAGCTCCAACCCCCTGCAGCGGGCAGGAGCACCTTCCACTAGAGCAGCTTGCTCCAAGCCCCGTCCAACCTGGCCTCGAACACTGCCAGGGATGGGGCAGCCACAGCTTTGTGAGTAATAAACCAATGCTTTTAAATCTTTGTGTATTCCAAAAGGAAAACACAAATCTTCATCTAAGAACAGAAAATCAGAGATATTTCAAGTAGTAAAGAGGGAGGCACCATGCTGGGGTGATGGTGGTAAAGAGTTAGCCATCACAGTTGTCTTTTTAAGGGCAGGTTAAGCACACTGTTCTCAGTATTCTTAAGTTAAATTTTCACAGAGACAGAAGATGGCCTGGGTTACTTCGTGATAACCCTTAAAGTCCTACTTTGCATGAAATTTCACCACTGGTCTTCCATTGAATAAAGCCTCTTGCAAGAACTTGCACGTTTTAGCAAAGGTTAGCAAATTACAGAATCAGGAAAGAAAAAATCCTTCTTTTAGAAATGGGGAAACCAAGGGAGGAAGTTGCCTGTTTTATGTGTATGGAAGGCAGATAAGTTGAGTCTTTGTCACTCCAGGCTTTCCTATGGAAAGAAATAGATCTCTCCAGGAATTGATTCCCCTGATCTACCTCAGACCCAGTCTTAGGATAAGATTAGGTCTGAAGTAGACATCTAGATTTTGAATATAATAACTTAGGGCAGACAAAGGCCACATCCAAACAGCTGCAATCAATGGCTCAAATTCCAAGTGGAAACCAGCAATGAGTGGTGCCCATCAAGGGTCTGAACTGAGACCAATACTATTTAATATCTTCATCATTGATATAAACAGTGGGATCAAGTGCACCATCAGCAAGTCTGCAGATGACGCCAAGCCAAGTGGTGCAGCTGATATGTTTGAGGGAAGGGATGGGATCCAGAGAGACCTGGACAGGCTTGAAGAGTGGGCTCAAGAGAACCTCATGGAGTTCAGCAAGGCCAAGGTGCAATCTCCACTATCAGTACAGACTGGGAGATGAAATGAAAGAAGCTAAAGATGAACCATCAGGTATCTGGCCTGCAAAGCTCTTTCGGGCCAGATCTGCCAGTTTTTCTACCCACAGACACATGTGGCAGCAATTTGGCTGGCATCCTATTCCTCTCCTTTTGTTTCCCTAGCCAAACAGACTAGCAGATGTGACTTAATGCACAAGCCCAAATCAATAGCTGCCGATATCTCCTGTTGCAAAACAGTTCCTATAAGGATGTGCATACTGCCAGGAAAGGAGAAATGTCTCTGTTTTCACTCATTTCATTTGGCACGTGGATCTGACACCAGGATAGTGGAGGCTCATCACATGGAGGGTCTGTGTATGGTGAGAAGATGAGTGAGGTTGTGTGGATGAGTGGTGAATGCTGGCAAGGGGTTGTTTTGATAGAGATAGGAGGTGGTGATGAAGCATGAGTTTGTGTGGACCCTGCTCCAGGAAGGGTTGTGTGAAGCAATAGGGACTAAGTAGAGTGATAACTTGCACTGGGAGAGGCTGTGGGTTAGATAAGGACACTGTTTGGGTGTGTTAAGGCCTGTTCAGCAGGGCCAATAGGTCCTTGGGGAATGAGAAGTTGTGCTGAGGCAAGGTATAATTTTGTACAGACCATTCTTGCTTACTTTGCATTGTGAGACTAGCTGAAGAAGGGAGAAGTAGTAAAAAGAAAACACATTTCCAGAGCCATGACACTGACAGGCTCTGTACAAAGAGGGAAGTTGCTCATATCTAAGTGACCACACACCCCAAACTAGATATTTCCCCAACAGAATGATTGGCTGGCTGTCAGATGTCGCGTTGTAAAGACTGTGGCTTTTTAAATAGTTTCTAACTCTCCCAGCACTTGTGTGACACAAGGACTTTATCTGGACCAGAAGTGACAGAATTCCAGTGAAAATTTCACCCAGAGGATCCACACCAGACAGCTGCTGCAGATCAGTCACTGAGATTCCAAGGAACCCACAAAAAGGTGAGAAATTCCTAGATGGCATCTTTGCCATTGCACTCTGTCTGGTGCTTTCTGTTGTGCTTTTGGAGTGATGGTGAGGGTAAGGAAGGAAGGAATGAAAGACAAGGAGGAAAGGTGATCAAACATTTTCTTCTGGTTACAAATTTGCTGTAGGTAAGAAATAGTCTTAATCATTTTGAAGGTAACCAGAGCTTCATTCTGGAGACCTTTCTCCATGAACAAGTGCTATTGAATTGCTCTAAATACACCTCTGTACTAGATGTCATTATTCAGAAACCTAGATTAGCAGGTTTGGTCTTAGATGGTGACTTAAAATTGGCTAAGAAAATACAACAACAAAACTTTCTGTCCATTGCCTAAAATGTCTTTGTGGTGTTATGGTTGTTCAGCCTGACATCTGCTACAAGAACATGGTACTCAGCAAGCAAACCACAGGAAGGATGTTTCATATTAAGAGAGAGAAGGACCACTTAGACTCAGTCTGCTGCTGTTTGATGCTAACTTTCACTCATTAGTTTCATCAAGGAAGCAGGCTCAATGTCTTGAATCTGTCTTAGAGACAAGAAAAAATGAGGGTGTCCACTAGTGTCAGTCTTTATGTAGGTGTGCTCGATGGCACAGAACCATTTCTTTTAACATTAGGAAATACACTCAATGAGCTTAAGTTAGCCAGTTAGATTTGTCATTCCCTGAATGCCCAGTGGAGAGATATCCTACTGGAGGACAGGTATAACAGCTTTCTGGAGATGACTGCACAAGGGAAGCAGAATAGCTTCATTCCTCAAATGGGGACCACATCAGAAAGCTGGAGTGGGCTTAGACAGAGCTTAAGTGACACTCAAATGTTCATTTCCTCTTCAAACCAATTGTGACTTTGTTTTGGGTTACACCAATAGCTTGTGGCAGAGATAGAGCTGCACTAGAGCTTCTGGAGGCCAGGAAACCACTTAAACACTGGGTCTTCGTTTCTTCTCACAGCATCAAGTTCTGCTGATCTGCTGCCACCCCAAAAGCAGGTAGCGAGGAAGCAAACAAAGTCAGAAGAATGTATCTTTCCAATTTGCTTGCTGCAGATGTGCAGGGAAGAGGTAGCCTTGCAGAGGTGTTGGTCAGCAAGTACACTGCTCTCCCCAGATAAGGAAAGAGATGAGTTTGAACTCAGGGATGTTCCTGTCATGAAACCGTACTACAGCAGACTGTCCATGCTGAAGGAGACGGTGTTGTTTGTTTTCCATAGTCCCTTTCAGTATGTATTAAATTCATTGAATTTAATCATCTGAGTCACAGATTGGTTTGGGTTGGAAGGGACCTTAAAGCCCATCCAGTTCCAATCCACTGCCATGGGCAGGGGCACCTTCCACTAGAGCAGGTTGCTCCAAGCCCCTGTGTCCAACCTGGCCTTGAACACTGCCAGGGATGGGGCATTTACCACTTCTTTGATTCAATCTGTCATATTTTGCGTGCTTATGGGAGTCTGTCTCCATCTATACCACAGCATTTTACGGAAACAGAACAGCCTGTCCGTGCTGGTTGGACTGTTCAATGAGTCACATCTTCCCAGCTCTCCCCATTTTGTCTTGTTCCTCTCTTCTTTTTAACTATCTCCTGCTGTCGCTCATGATACTTCTTTCCCTTCCCATGTCAAAGCTAATAGCTGATGAGGAGGGTGGAAAACAACCACAGTGCTTGACCTCAGAGAAAAAAAAGGTGTGAAATCTATCTTTCAACCTGTTTATTCAAGATTCTCTTTCATATCCCAGTATCATACAGGAAGAAGCAGGGTGAACCACCCCACGGAATGAGGTGAAATAATTGAGCCATAATTCCAATGACCTGACCCCAATGAGGGGCATTTTATCCCACATGCAGTTCTTAAAGCTTCCTTCTGAAAATTAAGTTATTAAGGGCTGACTCCTCAGATTGAATTACTTATTTTCTGTACATAGGGCTCAAGAGAACAAACCAACCACATTAAACTACACTCATTCAACTAGAAATCAATCATTGACATAAAAACCTACAAGCTATTTTGAGTACTCCCTAACATGTTTTCTGGGCATGGACAAAACTCAATCAGATTTCATGCTGATTAAACTTGTATGCTGATTGCCTACAATTTTCACACCCTTTTAACAAGATTTGTCACCTAATCTTAGCGACAGGAAGGAAAGACAGCTATCTCGTTGTTAACACTGGATTTGCTCTTATTCACACAATAGGTACTTTTCCGACATGATTCATCTCAGCTGTAATTGGTTTTTTAAGCTATTTGTTTCCCAGTACCGACTGCAAAAAGGGCCCTCAGGAACTGAGTTTTAAGAAGGGACAAACAGTGTAGTTTAACTTTTCCTACATGTCATATAGAATTTGGGGTCAATGCTTTGAACAGTGCATTAGAGCTCTGTGTTCCAAGTCCAAATACAGCAATCCCTCCCTAAATCAAGCTCTGGCGACAAAGAGATGAACCAAATCCAGAAACACCATCAGGTCACCATGAGGGAAAGTCACACCAGTTACCTCTCTCCTTTCTGCTTACAGGTCTGTCTGAAATCCCTCATGATGAGTACTTCAACCACGTCAATCTTCCTTCCAACTGCAAGCAGCCAGGTTCTTGGGACTAATCAGAGTGTGGCTGTGGGAAAGACAGAGCCATCCTATGCTGTCCTCAAGTTCATGGAGAGCTTCTGCCTCATCAGTGCTGCCTGTGGCATGGTGGGTAATGGCATGGTGCTATGGTACCTTGGTTTCCGTATCAGGAGAAACCACTTCACAGTCTACATCCTGAACCTGGCTGCTGCCGACTTTGGGTACCTCCTCTGCATTGCCATAGAGACGGTTCAGTACCTGATGCAGTTCAACGTGGGGGTGCAGTTTGGGATATTCCTCTTCCTGGATCTTTTCATGTATGGGACTGGCTTGTACCTCCTGACCGCCATCAGTATTGAGAGGTCCCTCTCTGTGCTTTGTCCCATCTGGTGCAGAAGTCACCGCCCAAAGCACTTGTCTGCCATCATCTCTGGCCTGCTCTGGGGTATCTCCCTGCTGCTGAACACTCTTGGGTATGTTTTGTGCTCCGTGCACCGCTCTGCTGGGACCTGCCAGATCCTGCTCATCACCATTGGAGCCTTGGACTTCATATTCTGCACACCCCTCATGCTGCTCTTCAGCCTTATCCTCTTCCTTAGAGTCAAGTGCAGCTCCCAACACCTCCGAACGGGCAGGCTTTTCACCGTCATCATGCTCACCGTTCTCTTCTTCCTCATTTTTGCTGTGCCTTTGAGTATCCTGATCCTCTTTGACTTCTTGGGCTACAAATTTCTCTACTCCCCAGAGATCGGTTTCGTGCTGTCCTGTGTGAACAGCACCCTCAACCCTGTCATTTACTTCCTGGTGGGAAGCTACAGGGATCGGAGAATCAAGTTTACCCTCAGGCTGGCATTCCAGAGGGCCTTTGAAGATTCAGCAGATGACAAAGATGAGCGGGAAACCCATGACACAATCACTATGTCTTCCTAAACCCATCCTGTGCGTAACAGCAGCACTGGTCTGGAGCTGAGGGCTGATAGTTTAAAGAACTGAAGATCTCTGAGATACTGGGGTAGGTTTATCTCACATGACCTCCAGTATCTTCATTGTGGATCTCCAGCCTTTAGCTAATTATTTTAAGCTCCATCAATGGTCAGAGAAAACAAACATCTGGACCACAGAGTTTACCTGACCTCTGTTAGGACTACATTGAAAGTATCTATTTCTCTTCAGTGCCCATTAAAGGATTTCAGCTTGGTAAGGTAGAATACCTTGGTGTCTGCATTACATCAAAGGAATCCCACTCAGAATTTGCAGTTTACTCAATAAATCTCTGTCTTTCAGAGTACAACAATATCAAACTCACAAATTTCAGTCACTTTTTACTCAGGTCTCTGAAAATGAGATAGGAACCTCTCCTCCTCCTGTTGAAATAAGCCATGAAATTCCTAGAAGGACTCTATCTATCTCACTTCATGTTAAATACCTGTATCTCAGCCACACATGTCATTTTCTGCAGCTCATAGGGTGCACAATTCTTTGCTCTCTCATGCTCATTTCAAACAGTGAAATGATTCATGCCCTGGAAGTTCCTTTCTTCTATTAGCAAGGGAAGTTTCCATATACCATGGAGTTGTGATGCAGTACGAAAGGGCCCCAGCCCCTACCAACTTGCCTTAAAACTTTATACACTGAGTTGCATTCTCGCTTTCCTTGTGTTTCAAAGAAATACAGGACTGGAGTTGCATATTACTTTACCTTCCTCCAGCCCAAGAAGGAGTATCTTCATCTAACTAACTACAGCACGCATTGGGTTGTTATTCCTCCCTTTAAGGACTGATAAGAACCCATGGCTTCTAACATCCCCTTTACTGACAGAATTAAAATGAAGGGTAGAGGAAAAAAATAAGAAACAGAAAAAAGGTTAATGAATACCACAATTTGCAACAAATTATTCTCTAGACCCTTGAGATGAAATATCTGATTATTTGAAATGTGGTACTATCAGACTACCTAACATTAGCACTTTTAACCAGACTATATAGGAAAACGCAACACAGGTCATTTTCTTTGAGAAACCCTCCAGATTTCCATTTCATACCTTCATTTGTGAATACTTTCCTAAAGGGAAGATGCATTCTTCTGTTGTCTATTATCTTTATCTTGTTGCTTTTTGCTTCCTGTTTACAGTTCCTGAAAGCTGAAATTTGAGTTCCATTTCCAGTATTCTTTAATGTTCTGCTCTTCTGCAGTGTACATACAGTTGATTCAGATTAGGGCTGTGTCATCAATTATTTTTTGTAAGGTGGTTTATTTTCCTTCTAACTTCTACTGCTGAGGGGAAGAGAGTATCCCTTTATCAGAAAACATGTTCTAAATGTTTCGTTTTGAATGTCTGTAATGATTTTATCACTGGAGGAACTGAATCTTTTCTGTTATTGTAAAAAATAATAAACCCCTTTTTTTTTAAAGGGAAAACAATTTGCATTTAAAAATATTCTTGTGCTCAGAAGAAGCCATCAACTGATAAAACCATTTAAAGTGTTATAAACATATAACCCTTTCCCTCCTGAGTTTGTCCTTAAACATACCCAGTGTGCAGCAGTTGATGTGAACACATTTTACACATCACATCAATGTGAACACTTTACTTCCAACCTTGGACCTTTAAAAGGTGATGCCTGCATAGAAACACCATCATAGACACCCTCAATTGTCCATGATGAAAGACTAGTGTTCTTATGGCTGGCATCTGCCAGATATTTGCAGGGAAATGAAAGAAGGGATGAGCTTCTGGGGCTGATGGTGGTGCAGAAGAGCTTCAGAAGCAGCTGAGGAAGGCACGCACCACACAGTCCTGCACAGTAAAGGAGTCTCAGTGAGGCCTGACATCAAAAGGTGTTACCTGGTGCAGATTAGAGTTTTCAGACGCTCTCTCATGGCATCTGCTTCAAATCCCTGTGGGTGTCCCATGAAGCCCTGGCCAGAAGAAATCCAGAGCATTTCTTTTCTGGAATCACAGAGGGGAGGCACAAGGTGTTGGAGAACGCAGGCAGGATTATTAGTTCTGGTCAAGGACGTCCTCATTTCTGAATATACCTTTATGGCAGAATTCATTTATCCTCATTTTTACTCCTTTCATGCACATTCAAAAATCACTCACATAGCAGCAAAGGGGCCTTTCTCCCTTCTTCACACCCAGCTCAGGCAGCAGGGGATGCTTTGAGTACATCTCAAACAGTGTGACACATCCCTGCATCAAGGAATTGAGCCAAGGAGAGAGCTAGGCCCAGGCTGTTGCATGGGCTCTTGGACAATCTGCATGGCCTCTGTTATGTCATATTTAATCCTCAATACGCCACCTACTTTGTTTTTTCCCTAAGAGAACAGATGTCATCTGAGGCTAGAATCAAAATGCGAATGCTATTTAAGATGTTAGAATTACCCCAAACTTTAAAGTACAGGTACTATCATTTTACTTTTTCTATTCAGGTTAGTAAAGTGCCACTACATCTCCCCTGGCATTGAACTGGACAGGAATTTAGAAGGTTTGGAAAACAAGGCAGAAAACTTGATGGTTTCCAAAGAGAAAGCGTACCTTGGACAAGCAGATGAGCTAAGGACAAAAGTGAAGCAGTCATGGCAGGGAGAGGTGATTATTCATTATATCAAAATAATTAAACTTGGCAAATTTCAGGTTAAGCATATTCTGAGAACAGCTCCTCTGAACTCAACCTGATGTCACTATTCAGTGAGGTGACTCCTCCACCGATCTCTGCAGGCGCTATCTCCTACCTTCAATCTTTGTTTTACTGTTCAGGGGGTCTCTATAGCAAAACAAACTCCTTGGAATTCTTGTGATATTCTTTATAGGGTAGTAGATTAAACAAAAATGCTGCTATTGGCTGTAAGAAAAACCTCTGGGTGCAACAGGTGGTGACCAGATAAAAACGTAATGCGTTTGATACACGCCTTGAAGAGAATATCAGGCAGGAAGGTCATGATGAGAATACAGATCTCTCCCAGCTGAGACTGCTCTGGGTATGGTTTAGGTGTTAACAAGGAGGGGAAGATGGAAAAAAAATCAGGAGCAAAACCAAATCAGGAGATCTGACCCTGACTGTTGCATGATTATGTGATTCCATGGGCTCATATCTATGTTCATGGTTAAAACTCACTGTTCCACACATTAGGCAATAAGCTCTGCTGTAGCTGGGCTCAATACTGGACCAAAGAGGGGAATTACTGATGCAAAATGCCAAATAACCTTACTGCTGTTTCAGTTGAATTTCTAGCACTGTTGACTTCACAGCTTTGAAATAAGACATGAAGTTGCCAATTCCAGTAGCCTGCATGAGGGAGCAAGTGCACCATTAACCATGTGCATGAGGCTGGAAACCTCATCCTTTCAAAGATGATGAAGAAAAGAGAAATGGAAGGGTGCAAATCAGCGCAAACAGAAAAAATGACAAAGGTACCCAACGATAGCTCACAGCTCAACAGGGATCATGGCCATGAACAAGGAGTGAACATAGATGGCTCTGTATGACATAAGGTAAAGTGGAGGGGAAGGGTAAGAACAGATAGGAGATGGAATGCATAAAATCATAAAATCACAGAACGATTTGGACTAGAAGGGACCTTAAAGCTCATCCAGTTCCAATAACCTGCCATGAGCAGAGACAACTTCCACTACAGCAGGTTTCTCATCCATGGCCAGAAATCCACGAGGGCATCTCTCTCACAGCTTCTTCAGGCAAAGAGTTCCCCCAAAGCACCACAACACTCGGCTGCTCAGCCAAAGTACACACATGGGGTCAAGGCCATAAGGGTCTGCTCTGCTCACAGACAGAATATGACACACGCTAGCTGTATAATATGCGGAGTTTATTTAACAAGCTCATTAAAGCCAATAAGCGCACTAATGCAATCACACTAATGTGAATTAGGTAAATATCTCTCACTATATACAGTGAATAAGTACAATAAAGCAAATCAGAGGTATAGATATGTAACTGAAGTACCGAAGAAACATTGCAATGCATCAAAGCATGACTGCATAGAGACAGCAGAGATTAAGAAGAAATTCATCACCAGTTACCACTGAATCATCACCCAGTCCCACACTTCCAGATGGGAAGCCCCCTTGCAGCTGATGCCAGGACTCTCAGGTCACTGGGACAATTCCTATGCTGTGCGTGCACCTGTAGGTGAGGCTTCTCCCACGGCCACAAGAGGGTCCTGCTTTTATACCCATATCAAAACAACCGGCTTTATGCCAGATCGCGGATTGTGTCCTCATGGAACCATGCAGTTTCTCATGATCTCACCGTGGTCCACGCTGAGAGCGTTGGCCAGGCACCCCCGTGTGTCCAAGTATGAAGGTCATAGAACAGCTGCACCCCTCTGCTTCCTGTCTCTTTCTGACAAACAGTCACTATGAACATAAACGTATGTACTCAACCGAACACACTGTGGCAAACAGCATCCTTTGTTATGTCCCTCAGTCCTGAGAGGGAGTCAACTCTCAGCTATGCTCCCATTCATGACAGGGTGATTGCAACGGGGAGCAGAGCTCAGGCCTCCCCCTCCCCAGCAGAGCCTCGGGGAGTGCTCTGCATGGGGATGCCCTCAGGCACGGGGCTCTCCTCCTTGCTCCTTTCTCTCTCTTCAAACACTCTGCGCAGGGCGACTTGGATGGAGCCTTGGAAGCGGCGCTGCCGGCAGCTCCCCACCAGGAAGTAAATGACTGGGTTGATGCTGCTGTTCAGCAGAGCCAGCACCAGAGTCACCCTTTCAGGAAATAGAAAACCATAATATAAAAGATTAAAGAAAGAATTTATGCTGAAAGGCATCCCTAAGGCAAAGAAGAAGATGATGTTGAGCACAACAGCAACATAGAGTTTCCCCAGGCGCCGTCTCTGTGAGCCACATCGGAGCCCCGTGACCATGGACACGTTGGAAATCAACATCGTTAATGACAAAATCACGGAATAGACAATGCCCACACTTGCAAGCAGTGTGTAATGTCTTTGACCAAGGAGAGAGCAAACATAATATGACAAAATGAAAAACGCAACGCCGGCCCAGAGCACCCCACTCACGATGCCTGACAAGTGCTTTGGGCGGTGGCAGCGATACCAGATTGGGAAGATGACAGAGACGGAGCGCTCCGTGCTGATGGCTGTCAGGAGACCCAGGCTGCTGAGGACTAACAAGTGGCTCAGTAATTCAACTGCATCTAAGAAACCATTGTAGAAAGGAAGAAAAGAACCCAAACCATAACAAATTATTGTCAAGTTGAAATACCCCAATATGAGCAGAAAATACAAGAGGAGCAGAGAGCAGTCAGCAACAGCTAAATTTAGGATGTAGACAGTGAAAGGATTCTGCCTCAACCGAAAGCCCAGAAACCACAAGACTATCCCATTCCCCACCATTCCAAACACACAGATCACCATGAGGAAACCTAACAAGGTCATAAATCTGCCCGATGCATATAAACATTCATAATTTCCCGCATTGCTCCAATTCCCATCATGAGTGTAATTCAGAGGGAGGTCTGTTCTGTTGGTCTCCTCCATAGCAAATGACCCTGCTCTGGGCAGCCTCCTTCTCCCTCAGCCACCACCTCCTAGGAGACACAAGCAATGAGAAGGCAATGAGGGCCATCGGCGTTCCCCGCTCTCCCCATCTCTCCCCACAGCCCCCGCCAGCCCCAGGCTGCTCCAGGAAGGACCCGTCCCCCGGCGTGCCCAGCACAGGCTCCCAGCCCTGCAGGCCTGGCCCTGCCCAGGAGCCATCTCCCACCTGCCCGTGCCCGCTCTCCTACCTCCTGCTGCTCCTGCCAACAGCGCTGCTGCACGAGCTCCAGCACAGGGGCCTCCAGCCTCGGCAGCACAAAGCCTCTGGGGATGCTTCCGTGGCCACCCCGCTCTGCTCGGCCGTCTTCCTCGTGCCTGGGGAGCAGAGCTTTGCCCACACATCACGGCCCGTGCTCAGCAGACACCCCTCACAATCTGCCCACATCGCTCACAGCTTCCCCTCACATGGCCCAAGGGGGGAGATCTTGTCAGCAGGAGCTGGGCACGTCACCCCCTTCCTCTCCTGCAGCCGGCTTATCACCGGGAGGGGCTGATCTGTTATGATCCCATGAGAAAGGATCTCAGATTCCATAAAGCATCCACTGAAAGAACATTTTCTACATCCTGAACTCTCAAGAAGTGAGGGCATGGGTAAGGTAAACTTATGAGCTTTCGGGTATTGGTAACCCAGGATCTTACACCACCAAGCGGGAAGATCCTGTCCATGGAACGTTATCCCATTCTGGGTGTTTGAGCTGTTACGGGGGTTCCAGAAAGAAGAAGTCAGCTCTTTCTACTGCCAAGCAAAAAGGATGCTCACGTGAGAGCTGTGGCAGCAGTCTCAGATATAGGCAAGCACACGCAGGGTGAGCTGCCTGCAGGCTCCTCCCTTGCCATCAGCCAAGAAGGTCTCTCCATGGCCAAGGCAGATGCAGAGTGCGGCACAGGCCTGGGACTGCTCAGGCTGGGTGTTCTGTGGATCACTCACTCCTGGAGGAGCTAACATGGGGAAAGGTGGGATTTTAACTCAGGAATGAACGTACATAAACCGTTCCCAGGGATGGCGCATGGCAGAAACGTGAGAGTGGGAAAGACGAGCCAGGGGCCATCAGCGCTGGCAGATCAATGAGCTGCAGACACGCAGCAGCACGAGGGCTCCGCTTGTTGTCTCTAATGACAGAAACTGGTGCTTGAAGACGTCTTCCATCTTTCTTCTGGGAGACATCACCAGGACATAAAGGCTTTGCTTTAATGTGTCAAAGCATGGAACATAATACTTGGGGGACATACGATTCTGCAAAACCATAGAGGAAATCAGTAAAGGGAAATGCTTTTCACAGCGGAGGTGAAGAAATAAAAGCGCATGCTGTCATTGTAGGACAACCAGGAGCTGACATGTTATATTCCCAAAACCGTAGGGAGCGGGGATAAAGGGACCTCATCTCATGAAGCATGACTGAACAGCACTGAACTGTCCATGTGCAGCACTCTGATTCTCTTCCAGGGCCCTGAAGGCTACAGCAGGCCTTCTTTGCTCTGACCCACTGATTCATCCCCTGCCCCTTGCTCCAGGCCTACACAACCAGGCTTTGAGTGGGCTACGCAGGACTTGTACCTGCCTGAAGCCCTGTCTCCGTCCCCTCTCAGGGGTGGACCTTCAGCCTGTGCCCTAGCCCTGGTTCAAGTCTACCTCTAAGCCCTAAGTCCCGCAGCTCCAGGCGGGAGCTCTGCCTAGACTGTGGACCTTGTTCATTACCGTGCGTTCACCACATGAAATCAAGGGATAACCTTGGAGGTCTCCAGCCCTGGGGATGACAAGCACAGGCTGTAACTCCCAGAAAATGGTCTTTAAAAGCTGGAAAACACATGAAAGATGGAGAAAAAATAAGCCATGAAAATGCCGTTCTCTGTGAGGCTAAGGGATGAGATTGTGTGACAGGAACCCCTTGGAGATAAAAGCACATTTGCAGCACTACGTAGCTCACAAAGTGTAATCTCATAGGAGACACAAGCACATCAGGGTTTTGATTAGAGGCAGTGCGCAAAGCCCTCGTGATGTTCTCTATCTGAGGAATGGTGATTTCTCATGGCAAGTTGACGCAAGGACATGCTCAGCCTCATTGTCTGCTTCTGCTGAAGGGATTCCCTTGGGATCCGATGTTCAGGATCAGGCCTGGGGGAGCAGAGGGAGGGATGGGCATGAGCAGGGGTGGTTCCGCACGTCAGGGAGGATGGGAAGAAGAAGCAGTGTTGAGGCCATGAGAGTGCCAGTGACTTCTGAGGGGTTTCTGCTCGTTCATCCCCATTGTTGCTGCTCCCTGGCTCATCTCGCTCACTCTCATCTTTCTGCCTTGCCCTTGCCCTGCCAAATCTCTTCCCCACCATACCCCTTGCTGAAGGGACACAAGATTATCTGACCCATGCCCACCTTCCTGTGAGTTCAGGATGTAGAAAATGATCTTTCAGTGGATGCTTTATGGAATCTGAGATCCTTTCTCATGGGATCATAACAGATCAGCCCCTCCCGGTGAAAAGCCAGGGGGGCAGGAGAGGAAGGGGGTGACGTGCCCAGCTCCTGCTGACAAGATCTCCCCCCTTGGGCCATGTGAGGGGAAGCTGTGAGCGATGTGGGCAGATTGTGAGGGGTGTCTGCTGAGCACGGGCCGTGATGTGTGGGCAAAGCTCTGCTCCCCAGGCACGAGGAAGACGGCAGAGCAGAGCGGGGTGGCCACGGAAGCATCCCCAGAGGCTTTGTGCTGCCGAGGCTGGAGGCCCCTGTGCTGGAGCTCGTGCAGCAGCGCTGTTGGCAGGAGCAGCAGGAGGTAGGAGAGCGGGCACGGGCAGGTGGGAGATGGCTCCTGGGCAGGGCCAGGCCTGCAGGGCTGGGAGCCTGTGCTGGGCACGCCGGGGGACGGGTCCTTCCTGGAGCAGCCTGGGGCTGGCGGGGGCTGTGGGGAGAGATGGGGAGAGCGGGGAACGCCGATGGCCCTCATTGCCTTCTCATTGCTTGTGTCTCCTAGGAGGTGGTGGCGGAGGGAGAAGGAGGTCGCCCAGAGCAGGGTCATTTGCTATGGAGGAGACCAACAGAACAGACCTCCCTCTGAATTACACACATGATGGCAATTGGAGCAATGTGGGAAATGTTCAGAATCCATGTTTCTTTTTTCCTGCTGGATATATGGCCTTTTATTTTGCCTGTCTGGGGATCTGTGTGTTTGGAATGGTGGGGAATGGGATAGTCTTGTGGTTTCTGGGCTTCCAGATGAAGAGGAATCCTTTCACTGTCTACATCCTAAATTTAGCTGTTGCTGACTGCTCTCTGCTCCTCTTGTATTTTCTGCTCATATTGGGGCTTTTCAACTTGACAATAATTTGTTATGGCTTGGATTCTTTTCTTCCTTTCTTCACTAAGTACATAGGTGCAGTTCCTTTCCTGTGCCACTTGTTAGTCCTCAGCAGCCTGGGTCTCCTGACAGCCGTCAGCACGGAGCGCTGCGTCTCTGTCATCTTCCCAATCTGGTATCGCTGCCACCGCCCAAAGCACTTGTCAGGCGTCGTGAGTGGGGTGCTCTGGGCCGGCGTCGGGACTTTCAGTTTGTCCATTTATATTTCCTCTCTCCTTGGTCAAAGACATAACATGCTCTTTGCAAGTGTGGGCATTGTCTATTCCGTGATTTTGTCATTAACGATGTTGATTTCCAACGTGTCCATGGTCATGAGGCTCCGATGTGGCTCACAGAGACGGCGCCTGGGGAAACTCTATGTTGCTGTTGTGCTCAACATCATCTTCTTCTTTGCCTTGGGGATGCCTTTCAGCGTAAATGCTTTCCTTAGACTTTTATATAATGGTTTTCTGTTTCATGAAAGGGTGACTCTGGTGCTGGCTCTGCTGAACAGCAGCATCAACCCAGTCATTTACTTCCTGGTGGGGAGCTGTCGGCAGCGCCGCTTCCAAGGCTCCATCCAAGTCGCCCTGCGCAGAGTGTTTGAAGAGAAAGGGAGGAGCAAGGAGGAGAGCCCCGTGCCTGAGGGCATCCCCATGGAGAGCACTGCCCGAGGCTCTGCTGGGGAGGGGGAAGCCTGAGCTCTGCTCCCCGTTGCAATCACCCTGTCATGAATGGGAGCATAGCTGAGAGTTGACTCCCTCTCAGGACTGAGGGACATAACAAAGGATGCTGTTTGCCACAGTGTGTTCGGTTGAGTACATACGTTTATGTTCATCGTGACTGTTTGTCAGAAAGAGACAGGAAGCAGAGGGGTGCAGCTGTTCTATGACCTTCATACTTGGACACACGGGGGTGCCTGGCCAACGCTCTCAGCGTGGACCATGGTGAGATCATGAGAAACTGCATGGTCCCATGAGGACACAATCCGCGATCTGGCATAAAGCCGGTTGTTTTGATATGGGTATAAAAGCAGGACCCTCTTGTGGCCGTGGGAGAAGCCTCACCTACAGGTGCACGCACAGCATAGGAATTGTCCCAGTGACCTGAGAGTCCTGGCATCAGCTGCAAGGGGGCTTCCCATCTGGAAGTGTGGGACTGGATGATGATTCAGTGGTAACTGGTGATGTATTTTTTCTTAATCTCTGCTGTCTCTATACGAATATGATTTATGTGTTGCTAACTTTCTTTGGTACTTTACTTAGATATGTATATCTCTGATTTGCTTTATTGTACTTATTCACTGTATATAGTGAGAGATATTTACCTAATTCACATTAGTGTGATTGCATTAGCGTGCTTATTGACCTTAGTGTGCTTGTTTAATAAACTCCACACATTATAGAGTTGGCATGTGGTCATGTTGTGGCCTACCCTGTCTGTCAGCAGAAGAGACCCTTATGGCCTTGACCCCAGCAAATAAACTGTGTGTGCTTTGGCTGAGCAGCCGAGTGTTGTGGTGCTTTGGGGGAGCTGTTTGGCTGGGGAAGGTGTGAGAGAGAGGCCCCGGGCGAGCTCTGGCCGTGTGTCTTGTCCCAAGCAGGCAGGGCTCTGCCGAAGGGACTGCAAAGACGGGGAAGCCAAGGAGGACCCCTGGTGAGTGCTGGGGGGATTTGTGGTGTAGAGGAGAAACATCGCAAATTGGAGTTTGAGGGAGAAAAAAAAAGAGTAAAAGAGCAATAGAAAGAATAAAAGCAAAAGAGAAAGAAAAGCAAGAAAGTAAGAGAGAAAGCCATTAAGTAAGCCAGGAATGAAGAAAGGAAGAGGGGAAGAAAGAAGGGAAGGGAAGGGAAGGGAAGGGAAGGGAAGGGAAGGGAAGGGAAGGGAAGGGAAGGGAAGGGAAGGGAAGGGAAGGGAAAGGGAAGGGAAGGGAAGGGAAGGGAAGGGAAGGGAAGGGAAGGGAAGGGAAGGGAAGGGAAGGGAAGGGAAGGAAAGGGAAAAGGGTAAGGAAAAGGAAAAGGGAATGGCAACGGGAAAGGAAAGGGAAGGGAAGGGAAGGGAAGGAAAGGAAAGGAAAGGAAAGGAAAGGAAAGGAAAGGAAAGGAAAGGAAAGGAAAAAGGAAAGGAAAGGAAAGGAAAGGAAAGGAAAGGAAAGGAAAGGAAAGGAAAGGAAAGGAAAGGAAAGGAAAGGAAAGGAAAGGAAAGGAAAGGAAAGGAAAGGAAAGGAAAGGAAAGGAAAGGAAAGGAAAGGAAAGGAAAGGAAAGGAAAGGAAAGGAAAGGAACTGGGAAGGATGGAGGGAGGGAGGGATGGAGGGAGGGAGGGAGGCAGAAAGGAAGAATTGGATGGAGGAAGGAAGAAACAGAGAGAGAAAGGAAGGGTGGGAGGGAGAAAGGAAAGGATGGAGGGAGAAAGGAAGGGATGGAGGGAGAAAGGAAGGGATGGAGGGAGAAGGAAGGGAGGGAGGGAGACTGGAGAAATGGAAGGTAGAAAGAAAGGAGAAAAGGAAGGGAAAAGGAAAGAAGTAAACAAAGCTGTGGCTGCCCCATCCTTGGCACTCGTTGAGGAAACGTTGGATGGTGCTCAGAGCATCATCCAACCTACTCTAGTGAAAGGTGTTTCTGCCCATGTTGGGGTTGGACCTGGATGAGCTTTAAGGTCCCTTCCAACGCAAACCAGTCTGTAGTTCCATGATTTAATGCAGTGGGGAAAGAATGGAGAGCTTCCCACAGGGTAAGAGGCAGGGAAATGGGTGGGTGAACACAGATCCCTGCCACATGCTGGTTGATGCTCACCCCTGGTTGGCTTCGTGCCTTGTAACAGTTGTGCAGAGCTGCTCAGCACCTCCTGATCATGGCCAGGATCCGGGTGGCAGCAGGAGGCTTCCTCCTCATGCTGGAGCTGGAGAACCAAATGCACACACAAATAGAAGTGCGATGCTCCTGATTTCTACATCATAAAGTGGCCCGTACAGCTGCTTATGTTAATTTCCTTATTTCAGCCTTTTATTGGTCATGGGCACAGACGTGCGTTCAGTGGAGTTACGATGAAATCTTTGCTGTTGGCAAAGAGAAGAGAGGAATGAGCGTCTCTGACTTGCCAAGACCATCTGATCCAGTGATCCTTGGACTTGCTTTAAGCTGTGTCTGGGGGATGTCTGGTGAGCTGTGCCAGAGCAGGTCCCCATCTCAGCCTCTGCATCTGACTTGAGCCTGCTGTGCTTCTCTCTGCTCTCACAGAGCTGATCTTTGCCATCACACATCCCGAGTTACACTGTGTTGTCTCACTCTTCACCAGTAAAGCTTCCTCTCCAAACACAGTGCCTTTTCTGCAGACGCAGCTCCCTCCATCTCCCCTCCCAGCTTTGAAGGGCAGGGTAGGATGGCCTTGGCTGAGGGAAAGCAAAAGTTTCTGAAGCCTCCCTTGGGTTGCTCTGGTCCCTGAGGACAAAACTTCTGTGGAGGTATTGCGAAGGGGAACACGTCCTAGACCCTCCCCTCTTGGTTTTCCTGCAAAGACCGACTGGAGCAGGGCTGGAGCAGATTCCCTGCCCCGTGGCAGGGACACTTAATGTGCTGTGCAGGCCCCGAGAGACCCCAGCGGGGGGGTGAAACCTCTGGAGCCGGCTGCCAAAAGCCACGTTCCCTGGAGCACAGCGCACAACAGCCCTGGCGTGAGCTTGTTGGCACGAGCAGGAGCGCTGGGAACGTGCTGCTCAGAGGCACTGCTGACCCCATCCTTTGCTCAGAACGATGGAACCTGCCACTGAAGCGTGCAGCACATTCCCATGGCAGGAGCATGCTCTTGCTTCCTGCCCAGCTCTGCAGCCCAGCCCGGCCTGGGTTTGTGCCTCTCCATCGGATGGGAGCGCTGCTCCGGCTCTGCTCGCTGCTGCTTTGGACACCAGAGCAGAAGAGGAAGGATGCTCCGTGGGATCAGAACCCCTCTCCTGCCATCTAGAGGCATCAGCCCCGCACATGTCCGTGCAAACAGCTCCGGGCATTGGCTGGATGTGCCCCTGAAGTCCCCTGAGCCCGGAGTCTTGGTGAGTAGTGTGACCAGGGCTCCTACTCGGGGCAGTTTCTCCTTCTCGTTTGCTTTCTCTGCATCTCCCTCTCGCACACATTGTATCTTCGTGTCTTAGTTCCTTTCCTCCCTCCCCTTTTCCTTCATTTCTACTTTCCTTCCTCCTTTTTTCTTTTCATTTGTTTCCCCTTTCCGTTCATTTCCTTTCCTTTTTTTGCCTTGCCTTGCCCAGCATTGCCT